GGACAGCGACGTTATTATTACAAGTATAAATCATTTATATAATTGATTTCATTTTTAATTTCTCATACCCTTCTGTTCTTATTTCCAATGATGACTGAGACGACGTGGTCATTCTTATTTGTGCGCAATACTGAAATGATAAAACAATATCCATGGTGTCACTATTTATAAACATTGCGTTGAATTCTTCTATGAAAAAGTTAAACGACAGTGTGTTGTCCCAACCCGTGGAGAAGTTGGCATTTGCACTTGGATCTCAGCACGGCCTTGAATAGTTTTGTCAGGTTGGTTGGTATATCACTAACCATTTTAACGAGATTTGCGAATGGCGATATTTGTGGACATTAGTAGACTTATTTAAGAACCTTCCCTGGAAAAGACGTGAACTGTTTACCAACATTGTGTTAAGTTGATTGCTACAACTTATCCGTGCTTATTTCTGTTATGACAAGATAGTAATATGTACATATATGTACAGTATAAGGTATAGTTATGTTTTCATCTGTTAACTTATTTATAATAAGAATATTATGAGCTTTTTACAATGTGGTAGATGATATGTGTCGTGATCCCACGTATCGATATGTTCTGTTAAGTTTGATTTCGATTTTTGTTTACGTTACCATAGCCACCATTCGCAGTGGAAGGTAAGGTGCTTGTTTTTGAAAAGGTTATGGGTAAGTAGGTTACATGAATCTCCATAACCAGTAACACGTGTTACCCTACCTTTGGATCAATAAAATCTGAGTGCTTACGTGTTTATTGTTGCAACGATTTGAATAATTATAAGTTGAGCAAATACACGTTGATTGTTCAAAATACTTCCTAAAAAAAGCTTAGAGATTAGATTCGAGTTGTTTTACGCCAAAATGCATTCACTGAAAATTATATTTTCTGTCGTTGGCGGCGCCCTTCATAAATACATGGCAAACATCGAAATGATGTGCATTGTACGTACGGCGTGTATTTTGTTTAGTGCGTGCACAATTTCATATTCTGGAGGAAAGTGACCATGTGGGGATGTATATTCATGTACGTACATATGTTATTCCGATGCCAACAAGCTCCCTTGTGTACTATACGCAATCACTTTGGGACGGCAATATATTAACCTTTTTATCACCAGTTCCCTCTTTTCATCACAAATTCACAAAATAGTCCTGTTCATAGTCTGCATAGATTGGGACAAAAATAGCCAAAATCTTTTAAGTAAAAACTGAAAATTTACTAAAAATTTTGTCTGATGACTCCAGAATTAAGGTTCATTTCCAGAAATATTGAAGAATGTAAGAAAAAAAGTGCATAACAATTTGGGCGAGAAAGTCTGGTGGTGAAAAAGATGAAGCTTCTGTGATATATTATACCCTATTGGGCAAAGGAGGGTGAATCATTCTTCACCGAAAATAAGAAGATCGAAAAGTATTGAAAATGAACAACTTATAATTACGGAGAAAATTAGGTATTTTTAAATATATTATACAATCTATTTTTTATGAGAAAATGTTCATATTCGTGCGTCTGCGGCAATTGTCAATAGATTTTTAAATATTTATGTGAACTGTACTTTATTACATACATGTCTAAATCATTAAGATTGTACATTTGCTCGAAATAACTGTAACTAGTGTACATGTATCGAGCCATCTCAAATCACTGAACAAATCGTTTCCTGTTGGTCCTGATTTAATGCGTCCAACCAGGCTTTCAAGTACCTGTAATCAATGTAAACTACCAGCGGCTGCAGTAACAATTGAAATACCGCAAGAATCAAAATAGCACGGTGACAATTACAAGAAAAGAAAAGAAAAGAAAAGAAAAGCTTTAGCACCAAAGCATATCATTCATTTTGGAGTGGCCATTTTTACTAGGCAACGTTTTTAAGGTTACCACGACAACTACCCGTCTATGCATGGTTATCTCTAAATATTCCAAACGGTTGATAAATTTAAAATACTAAAATCCTGTAACTTGGCCAACTTTAGTTTTGATCCGATTACATAAATTCTGTTGAGTATATTTCCTACAAAGTTATTAGCATCTGTATACGCCGTCTTGAACTTTTTCTGTGACGTCACCAGGTTTCAGTGTACAGCATATATGTTGATATTAAATCAAACATATCATTTACATACATTATAAATAATGAACTGCCCAGAAGATCGATCAGACAGGACAGACAATACTGATAAAACATTGTATAAATATGTGATGTCATTTTAAGCATGAGGGCAGTCAATTATTGTTGATCAGCCGCTTCACCACAGCTTGCTTTTTAAAACCAACACGCAGCTTGGCTTGAGGATATATGCAAGGACACTAGTATCTATAGGTGAGAATGGAGGTAAATTTGATCATCTACTATGAAATATAGGCAAAACTTTCGCAACGCTTGTTGGGTAAAATCTAGGCTAAACGCCTGCTACATAAGACCCAACAAATAAACTTAAGGATGCTGTATACGTTTTTTTTGCCTTGAAACCCAAAATTCTACTTTTTTGTATTTTTCAATGTGGACTACAATGAGCTGTTTTGTTGCCAATGTTCCACTAAATTCGTTTATTCATTGGTTCAATTATTCCTTTTACCGAAAATGGCTTTCTGATTTACACAGAGATCACGTAACTATACACGCCCATACACACACTATCTTGTCGATTTCATATCTAGTGTGAAATAGGCTTTCCATCAATATACAGTTTTGTGTAGTTCTGAAAATATCAGTTTAGAAAATCAAT